GAGAAGGAAATACAAGTTTCTTCCATCAAACCATTGTTATAAGGCAACAAAGAAGCAGAATTTTGAGACTAAAGAACAGTGAAGGGGAGTGGTTGAGGGATGACCAGGCAATTAAATGATAAATAATACATTGTTTTCAAAATTTGTACATGTCCTCAAATCCAGTGTAAGAAGACACCCTATTTTCCAATATTCAAGAGAGAGTCCCAACAAAGCTGAAGGAGAGACTGTCTCAACCATTATCAGTAGAAGAAGTGTCAACTGCGATTTTTGATATTGGTTCCCACAGATCTCCTGGCCCGGACGGATACCCTTGTATTTTCTTTCAAAATTTCTGGGATGTCCTAGAACCCGAGGTTACACAAGCAATCCAATAATGCTTTGATCTTTCTCATGTACCTTCCTCAATCAATTCTACTAATATCGTCTTAATTCACAAAAATTCTTCTCCATCTTCTATTCATGATTTCAGACATATTAGTTTAACTAATACCGTTTATAAGGCCATTGCCAAATGCATTGTGAATCGATTGAAACCTTGCATGTCTTCCCTTGTTGATAATTTTTAGRATGCCTCTATATCTGGCCGCTCTATCCTATATAATGTTTTGATATCACATGAGATTTACCACTTCCTAAAGACAAAGAAGAGGTCCTCTCATTGTCATATGGCTATCAAGGTTGACATTGACAAGGCCTATGGCAGGCTATAATGGAACTTCCTTATTAAAATTTTGAAGAAGCTTGGCATTCCTGCCCCTCTCCTTGATCTAATATACAATTGCATCTATTCAGTTCAGTATTCAGTCCTAATTAATGGATGTTAGAATGGAAGAATTATTCCTAAGAGGGGATTGAGACAAGGAGATCCTTTATCTTCGTATTTATTTATTCTAGCTATGCAGTTTTTGTCATTGGAGATTACAAAGGCTGTGAATGCAGTGGAAATTCAAGGAATTAAAATTGGAAGAGCGGCACCAATGATATCACATCTCTTCTTTGCCGATGACATTGTGATTTTTGCAAAGTAAATGTGGCCAATTGGATTAAAGTAGAGCAAATCTTGAACACATTCTGTAATATGTCAGGGCAGGTTATTGATAAAAGGAAATTTCATATCACATTTAGAAAGAATACCCCCATGTGATCCCGAAAAAATATTGTATAGAATTCTTCACATTCCTGAAGTGCTAGAGGAAGGCAAGTATTTGGGTGCTCCAACTATAATATCAAGAAGTAAATCTGCTACATCTGGCTTTCTAAAGGACAAGATCATTAACAGACTGCAAGGGTGGCGAAGTGCGTGCTTAAATCAGTCAGGAATGTAGATTCTTGTGAAGGTTGTGATCACAATAGTGCCATCCTATGTGATGTCACATTTTCAGCTCCCAAAGAGCTTTTGTCAAAAGATGGATGTGAAGGCTGCAACCTTTATCTGGGGAGAAAAAGACGATGGAAAGAGAATCAGGTGGGTTACCTGGAACAAAATGTGTGTTGTGAAAGGGGTTGAAGGGCTTGGGTTTAGATAGCTTCATAGATTCAACTTAGCTTTGTTAGCAAAGAGTGCCTGGAGATTAACTACATAAATTGATACATTATGGGCCCAATTGATGAAGGCTATTTACTTCCCCCATTCCTCTCCTTTGGAGGCATCTAATAGGTCCAATGCGTCTTGGGGATGGAGGAGCCTTCTACAGGGATTAGAGTTAATTAAACATGACTTGATTTGGCATATAGGTAATGGAAGGGGCATAAGAATCTGGGAGGACTCATGGGTAGTTGGGTGCCCAAACTTCAAAATCCAATACGAGCGGCCAAGTAATTGTAATTTGCATTATGTAAGTGAGCTATTGGTTCAATCCCCCAAAAGTTGGAACATCAGCCTAATTAGATCCCTATTCTCTGAAGCAGAAGTTAATACAATCCTATCCATCCCTCTTCCTTGGTTCGAAGTTGAAGACAATAGCCCAGGCTTTTCACAAGGAAGGCAAGTATATAGTAAAATCAAGTTATCATAAAGCTTGGGTTTTGGCTGAGGAAGATCAACAAATCATGCAATATCAACCTGTTAGCAGAGATTTATGGAAAGGTATTTGGAGTTTAAACTCTATCCCAAAAATTAAGAATTTCTTATGGAGAGTCTAATCGAATGGTATTGCAGTTAATGATAACTTGATTAAGAGGGGTGTGAATGTAGACCTAACTTGCCTGAGATGCAATGAAAATTCAGAATCCATTCTCCATGTTTTGGTGCAATGTCAGTTTGCTCGAGCTGTTTGGTTTGCCAGCCCGTTGGGTATTCGAACTGATCTCTTAGATGTTGATTCTATTTCTAGTTGGATTAATTCTTGGTTTTAGCGGGGGGNGGGGGGGGGGTCTTGAAGATAGAGAACTAAGAAGAGAGCTAAATGCTCTTAAAGCAATCATCTATTGGGAACTCTTGTTGGCGTGAAATGAGTTGATCTTTAATCATAAATCTCGAACGCCAGGAGATGTGCTTTCTAGGAGTTTAGCATTGTGGAGAGAGACTCCGGACCTAAGAGATGTTCACTTATCTAACCTAAGTGGCACTATGCTTAGCCAGAATAGATGGACTCCTCCACAGATTGCCAATATTTAAATTAATTAATTGTGATGCTTCTTTCAACCAGCTAACGAAGTTTGTAGGCTTAGGATTTTGGAGTGGTAATTGGAGATGCTCATGGTGATGTACTCAAGGTTGTGGGCCAAAAAGTTAGATGTCTTTCGACGGAAGATGCATAGAGCAGATCTCTAAGATTGGGAGTCCTTGAAGCAAAAAGATGGGGAGCCATGAGTTCCATTGTGGAGTCTGATGCACTTGGGGTAATAGATCAAATTAATAAGTGGGACCCGAATTTGAGTTCTGTTAATCATGTAATCATAGAGGACATTCTCCAAATTATGCGACAGGATCCTGCTCTAGTATGTGAGATTCGTCTAACTTTACCTTAACGATGCATTCTTTTCGTGTTTGATCGGCTATGGATTCATTATATAGTTGAAATATGCGGTTTTATAGATTTTTTTAGCATTTATCTTCTTTTTAATTTTCTCAGACCAAGTTCCAGTTCTTTCATCCTAATAATACTAATTGTATCTCCATATTGCACAAGGAAAACCAGTTTTAGTGATACTTGATACTAAACTAATGTTCGTGTAATTAGATAGTGATAACGTAATAAAGGCACATTGTAGAAATCAATTTTCAATGGTACTAAACACCGATCAAAATTAATAACGATAAAGGTGCATACCAATCCATGGTAAACCCACCATAGCTACTGCCATGACTTGACTTGGGAATCTCTAGTATGGTAAGCTTGGAGTTCAAAGGGAATATGTGGCTTCCTCTCGCTCTATTCATAACTTCATCAAAGTTTTTGGCTGAAAAGCCATTGCCATGTGTTTAAAATAGACATAAGATTAGGTACATGGCTGATATGGCTATTAGGATTGAACGCAATGCCAATCCAATATTTGATGGACTGTCAACATCAGCCACCATAGCCCTTTTTTTTTTATCACTTTGGCTTTTATTCTAACGATATGTAATGGTAAATATGTGTGGACTATTTTTTTAGAGAGAAAAGGTTACCTTTCATTAAAACAACAAAGTATGTATGGAGGAGATGTACAAAACTCAAGCTAAATCAAAACCTAAAACTCAATAAAGGAAACCTCCAACCTCCAAGAACAGAGCCTAGGTTTTCTGTTATTGAGGAAGAAGATGATGAATAATGTGTTTTATTTCCAAGGGTAATTTTGATATTTTAAAAGTCTTAAATCACACATGAGGTCACCTGATATACATAACTAATAGTCCATTAAAAGTAGGTATTAGATTGTCACATTTTAAAGTTTGGGACACCAAATTATCACTCATTTCAAAGTACATGATATTGATCAGGAATTGTCCATAAATTTTAAGTGTAAAAATATGGTTTACCTTACCTTACAAATTTTTATTTTATTTTGCCAAAAAACCCACATATGATACACATATCCTCCCCTTATATTTTGTTGGATTCCCCCACCTGTCAATATTGCAAACAACGATAGATTTGTGCAGTGGGCGAATCAACAATTTGCCCTATATTTTATGAATGGTGTGGGGTGTTATTATTGGTTCAAGTTGAACCAGGCCTAAACACAACCTAATTTGGATTAACTACAATGGATGGTTGTGTAACAAGCAATGGAGCCAATGACAACTCTTCATGCCATTGGTTCCACAACCCACTAATACAGCCATATGATTCAGCTAATCCAAATGCCTTCAAGTCATGTTTAAGATCTGATTCAAATTTAACATAAACAAATCAAAAATTGATATACTTGCATCCGATTCAATTCAAATTGCTTTGCAACTAGGTATATGGAGAGGTTTGCTTGTAGAGATGCAAGTCAGTCTAGGTGAGGCTGGGTTGAGGTCAATCCTAACCCAACCCGAATTCTTAAACTCACAACCCTAACCCTAACCCAACTCAAACTTTGGGTTGGGTTAGGTTTGGCCCAACTTTTCCTTTTGCCAGGGAAACCAACTTGGTTTCCCTGTCTTTCCCTTCCTTTCCCTATATTTTCCTTCAAACCAAACATAGCATAAAGGTTTAGTTTTATTAATATTAACATTATTACGTGTACACATTTTAGAAAAAATTGCCCTTAAATTTAAAATTGTTGACATACAATATTCATACATGCATATATATATACACACACACATTACAATAAAAAATATATAAATATATACATTTATGAATGCATTCGTAAATAATTGTATAATTGTATATACATATAAGAATGAATATACATATAAATACATATTTATACATACAAATATGAAATTAAATCAGTTAGGGTTGATCATACTTTTTGTTTTCATTTTTTTTTTCGGGCTAGTTTGGGTTGGGTTCCGGCTAACCCAGCCCAGCCCAAGTTGTAGCCATATTTGCTTGGTACCGCCTAAGCCATATGCAAGAGTCAATAGTCGTCAATACAGCAAGGAGCGTAGGAGCCATCAGGACACACGAGTAAAGTAAGGACAGACAGCGAGCGGGAGAGGGACCAGCAGAGCAGGGAGATGGAGTTGGAGATGGAGGATTCGATATCGTCACCGGTGCGCAGGACAGAGAAGGCGGCGTACGAACAGTTGGAAGAGATCCGAACTTCAATGGAGGACATCGTTGCGAAAATGCTCTTCATAAAGAAGGAAGGGAGACCCAAAGCCGAACTAAGAGAGCTCGTCACTCAGATGTCTCTCCACCTGGTCAACCTCCGTCAGGTTCCAAACCACTCGACCCCTAGTTCCTCTAGCTTTTCATTTTAGATCATACCATGCATAATATCTTAGGGTTTCATTTCTCAGACCTCGATGACATCGAAGACCTCTCCCCCCGGGGCGGGTTACGCAGTTTCAGAATTTTCCAAGTGAGCTAGGGTTCATCCTGTTTAATGGTTGCGTTTGTAATTAGTACCCATTTGGAGTGTTCTCGGAGGAAGGGTATCGAAATTACGCTGGTTTTCATGCTGAAGGAGTGTGTTTCGTTGGATTTAATGGCTCAATTCTTATCGGGGACAAAAAAATTTCATCTGAATTGATATTTTCATTTGGAATCAATGGGGCGATTATGCAGGTGTATGCTGGAGCCTTTGTAGATAATTTATAATTTATAATTACAATACCAAGCCAGTGAAGATGGTGTCTCTGGGGATTTGATAAATACATCATTAAGGGGGTATTATACCGGCTTGTCTAGTTTGAACGCTCAGGTAAAATAGTCGTCACTAGAGCCATTAGTGACACGGGGACGAAAATTTGTTAGTAAGATTAAATGTTGACTCAGGTCATTCAGCAGACGTCTGAAAATTTTAGCTGATTGATTAGAGCCCAAACATCGGAAAAGCAACCTACTTGATTTATTTGCTTATTTTTTAATTGTCGGTGAAGCAAGTTATTTGGCCGAGTTTGTAACAACGAAGCAAAGCTGGCTGAGTTTGTAATAATGAAGCAAAAACTTTCAAGGTTTAAACCAACTGAAGGTTTCTAAAATTATTGCAGAGAATTTTCGTTTGAGCATCTCAAGATAGTCTGTATGACTATTCTAGATTCTTGGGTATGAGGTAGTTATTGACCATCCTAGATTTGTGAACCCGTGAAGCAAACTTCAAATCTTCAATTATTTAGGTGCTAGGAGTCTTGACAAATGGACATACATGCTGAGTGATTTCTCCTCTTCTTATATGTTCGAATTATGCTTCTCATTTCATATTCTGCTATCCTCTCAGCTGGTGATCTTTTAAACAAGCATGAGATAGAATGTAAGAAGAAGGTAAATTGTGCAGTTAGTACCACTTGCAAACCAGCCTTTCCACATGAAAAAAAGAAGGTCCACCAAATATTTGGACTGGAGGGTTTCCATGAAGCCAATGCACACAATACACATCTATACACACTTGAGCAAATTCATGCATGCATCCATGCATTACAACCAGCTTCATGCATCACATAATTCAATGGAGTTAATATCTTCTCATTTGAAGGCGAGGGACCTTGGATTCTTTGCCATCATATTAGAGAGTCTAGCTTTTGTCATCAAGATTGAACATATTGTTGAGATGGACATTGATATATTGCTAACTTCATGGCAAATTCTCTTACAACGAGTTGAGTTTGAAGACCAAAGCAGTTTGTTTCCATTCTTCTCTGATAGATTTCCAAGAATATAATCTTCTTTTTGTGTTTCCCCCTGAATGTCTTGTGCTGTAATGCATGTGTATTACTTGTTTTTTTTTGTGTCTTTTATTAATATAAGCATTTGAGAGTCCAGTCAAAGAAATGTTTTCTCAATTGAAGATATATTCTGTTCTAGATCCTTATAGAAATGCATTTTCTTTTTAAATCTTTTCCCCTCAATGTTCTTTACCTATCAAAGAACATGCTTTACCATTGCTTCAACTTATATCTACTATTTTTTGATAAATAAAATAAGATTTCATTAATAGAAGAATAATGCAGTTGCAAGCTTCCTATGGAGAGGCTCAAGCTGTGTCCTCTCCTAACACCAAGAATAAAAGCAAAAGATAGAAAACAGGTTCAGTCTACGGTTGAGCCCAAGACAATCTTTCCCCGTTTACCCCTTGTTTTGCAAGACCATCAACTATAGTGTTTGCTGATCTCCCCATCCATTGTATTTCTCACTGTCAAACTCCTTGTCAGCCAATTGAATTTTTTAGTTTCATTTTTAAAGCACCAAACTATAGAGTCCGGGTTTTGTAGCCAACCCACTACCACCTTGGAGTCCCCTTCTATTAGCAACTGTTCCACACCTATCTGCACTACTAGTTGTACTCCCTGGATATCAATTAGAAGTTCCACCCTAGTGGAGTTTCCAACTCCTTGGGGACCCGAATAAAGAAGAACCACATTCTCATACTCATTCCTTAGTACCCCTCCCACTCCTAAGGGGCCTGGATTACCTAGACTACAGTTTACTACCATCAAAATTCAGGTTCAAGAAGCTTTCTGGAGGGCTTCCCAAGTCCCAAACCATACTCACTCTAGCCTTTAAAGATGAACAATTTTGCCACTGCTAACCAATTCCTCCAAATATCATTAAATGAGAATTGGTGGAATAGGTCCAGTGATTTTAGCCACAAGATCACCCTATTTAGAATGCACTCCTTCAGCTCTTCTAGGTTTCTCTCGTTCTCTTGGAAAATTCTGGCATTTCTCTCTTCCCACACTGACCAAATTGGCGCTGCACTTGCACACCTCCATATAATTCTTCCTCTTCTATGACACCAAGGGAAGAAAGAAGGATAAAAAATCAAACTTGAATCAGTTGGCATAAGCAACCTGCACCCAAACAATGAGAAGAGCCACTCCCATAACTCTGCAGTAAATGAACAATATCTTGGTAAATGGTTACAGTCCTCACCATGTGACCTGCAAAGAATACACCAAAAAGGTGAGAGATAGAGAAAAGGTCTTATCTTTTGTAGAATATCCAAGGTGTTTATTTTCCCATAATACACTTCCCAGCAAAAAAGCCATAACCTTTGGGGGAACAGGCCTGCACCAGATTCCTTAAGAGGGAAAGGCTGGTTGTGGGTATTCATCAAAAAAAAAAAAAGGGCTGGTTGGGGTAGACTGAGCAAGGGATTTAAAAAAAAAGAAGCGCATGAAAAAGACCCATTTGGTCTGGGTGTCCAAATCTGTTTATCAGGTTCAGAGGAGTCCAGTCACACTGTATCAAGTAGGCTTAGCAAATTTGTTAGACACACAATTTTCTCTTCTCTTAAACCTCTTCGGAACCCAAAATCCCAATTTGGTGCCAATGGATTTATCATAAGGGAGAAAAATTTTGACACAAAATCCTTTTTATACCTTGAAACGGAGAATAAAGAAGGGAAAATGTCCTCTATAAACTTGTCTACATATATATTTCTTACCTAGTTCATTGTTCTCATGATTTCAAATATTTTCCTTTATAGAATTTTCATGGAGGAAAAGTTTTAGGATAAGATGTTTTCTTTATCTATTTGTTTAATTTGCACTAAGCATTCCACTGACATCTTGTCATCTGCTACATAAAACTTTGATAGTAAGTTTGGTCCAGTTGTTTAATGCATATTTAAAATCAGCACCTGATTCTTAGGTCTATCAGTAGCTTTTAGAAAGCTTCATGTTGTTTTTTCTTATTGCAGGTAAATCGTTCTATATTGCTAGAAGAGGATCGTGTTAAAGCAGAAACAGAACGTGCTAAGGCACCAGTAGATTTCACTACATTGCAGCTTCACAATTTGATGTATGAGAAAAWTCATTTTGTGAAAGCCATAAAGGTGTGCAAAGATTTCAAGTCAAAGTATCCGGATATTGAACTTGTGCCTGAGGAAGAGTTTTTCAGTTCAGCCCCTCAAGATATTAAAGGATCTGTACTATCAAAAGACAGTGCACATGACCTGATGCTAAAGCGGCTTAATTTTGAGCTTTTCCAGGTAATTTGAGTTTAATTGAGTTTGGTTAAGTCTTAAACAATCAAGATCATGTCAGGATTTTCACTTTCTATTGCACATTCTAATTGGTAGGTAGAAAGTGCATGCACAGAGCCATACCTTAGTTAGGACTGTAATCAGTTTGGATTTGGATATGAACCAGCCACATTTGAATCTGATCCAGTTACTGCTGATACCTTAAATTTGAATTCAATCTGAAATATCGAATCTGGTATGGCATCTTTTGTTCTATTGTGGGGCAAATCATTAATGGTATTTGATTGTGGTATTAGATTTTGATTGTTCAATCTGACCCAGTTACTGCTGATGGGATAAAATCATTAATATGTTCTATTGGGTATTAGATTTCACAAGGTCATCCAACCTGGTATGGCATCTTTTGCTGAAGTTGTATGTGCTCTCTCTTTTTCACCTGAATATGCTTCATTGGTGCATTAACTTACTTTTTATGTGGTTTCCTTTTTTATTTTGTTTTCATTTTTGTTGTATCTCTACTGAGGTTTATCTAGCATGGAGCTTTTTTATTAGTTTTTTGTTTTATCAGTTTTAGTTTATTTCCTAGATTGTGGTCGAATATTATTTATTTCTTTTCCTCTTAACCAGCGAAAAGAACTCTGCAAACTTCATGAGAAACTGGAGCAACACAAGAAAAGCCTTATGGAGACCATTGCAAACCGAAAGAAGTTCCTTTCAAGTCTCCCTTCACACCTGAAATCTCTGAAGAAAGCATCCTTGCCTGTCCAACACCAACTGGGGGTTCTGCATACAAAGAAATTAAAACAGCATATTTTAGCAGAATTACTGCCACCTCCACTCTATGTGATTTATTCACAATTGCTGGCTCAGAAGGAGGCATTTGGGGAGAGTATTGAATTGGAAATTATAGGAAGCATGAAGGATGCTCAAGCCTTTGCCCACCAGCAAGCAATTAAGGACAATGGTAATTGAGCTATTTGAGCACAAATTATTATTATATGTTATATACTTTGTTCCGTAGTTATTTCTGATATATGTTATGCAAATACAGCAAGTCACAACATAGACAAGGTGCTGGGTGCAGAATTTATACTAACGTTGAAGTGTCTGAACTTGAGATCCATCTTGAAATGTTAGTGAAACATAGTCCTGATTTTCCACTGGATATTCTTCTAAAGGACTGTTTGATAACAGCTGAACTGAATGGATTATTTGTCTATTAGTGAATAAGCCATTAAGTAGGTTGTGAGTAACTTAATGGCTGAATGGCATGTCGGGTTAAGTACTGTATGCATAAATATTTTACTATATGGTTATTTTGTGCTCTAAAATACACTTTCAGTTAAGCCACATCAGCCATCACAAATGGCCCTTAAATTGTTATTGACAGTAGTTAGGACAGACCTTTGAATTTTTTTGGGAATATATTAATATTTTCAGAAACTAAGTGAGCAGATATTAGATTCTGTTCTGTTCTTTCAACAAATCTTGAATTGATTGAAAGGGCTTGTCAATAACCAGCCTGTTGGATTCGACAATTATATCCATCTTTGAGAGGTCTTTTGTTACTATTTTCTAATAATCCATGGATATGTTAAAATTATTTGTTTTTTGGTTGTCAACCTGACTGTGTTTACTTGTAAGCTCTAATTTAAGCTATTATTAGAGAATGACCACCCCGTACTAAGTGTGGGGCCTGTATTCTGATGACTTTTGTTTGACAACCATTATTTATGATGTAAGTTCAATTTTTTATTTGTCGTATATTTAAACAATAACCTACTTTATGGATTCTACATCATTTGAGGGTGGAGGTAACTACCATTTGAATCTCATACCTTTTTGAGGGTGGAGGTAAATACCATTTGAAGCTCATACCTTTTCTTTTGAGAGTGGATAGACACATGTCTGAAAAATAATGCTTTTATTTGAGAGTGGAAATAATCACCCTTTTGATACAATTTCTTGAAAGAACATGGTGCCACTTGTCTGAAAGAGAAGGCTTGTAGTCTGGGCCCTTTGTTCTAGGTAAGATATGGACATTGATTAAATGTGCTATCAATGGTTCAGGTGTTTCTACAAATACAGAAATGAATAAGTTGGAGGATGATGTGCCTGACGAGGAAGAGGATGGCCAAAGAAGGAGAAAACGGCCAAAGAAGGTTACTGGAAAAGAGAACCTTGACCAATCAGGAATCTATCAATCTCATCCTCTTAAAATCATCCTTCATATACATGATGATGAGGTTTCAAATCCCAAGCCTACAAAACTGGTTACTCTGAGGTTTGGATACTTATTGAAGTTGAATGTTGTATGTGTTGGRATTGATGGCTCTCAAGAAGGACCTCAGAACAACATCTTATGCAACTTGTTTCCTGATGATACTGGTACTGAGCTTCCCCATCAGGTATGGATGTTTGTGAATATGTTAGGTACTTTATGCATCTGTTTGCTCACATTTTCATTCTTTCTTTTAGTAACAATTTTTGAATGATAATGCAGTCAGCTAAGCTCTTTGTTGGTGATGCTGCTGGATTTGACGAAAGGAGAACCTTACGTCCATATAAGTGGGCCCAACATTTGGCAGGAATTGATTTTCTACCTGAGGTGTCTCCTTTGCTTACGGGCTGTGAAACTCAAAGCAGTGAAATGGGCAAAAGTTCTGCGGTTATTTCTGGCCTTGCTCTTTATCGTCAGCAGAATCGGGTACAAACAGTTGTGCAAAGAATCCGCTTGCGGAAAAAGGCTCAGATGGCTCTTGCGTGAGTCACTGTTCTGTATATTTGGAGTTTTGGGCAGTTTATAGTATGCTTTAGTGATCTTTGTCATCCATAAAAATATTGTATTACTAAGTGTTGGACAAGGACGCTTAAATATTATCTCCTGTTAGGTTCTGTTATTACAATTTTCATCATGAAATACATGGTTTGGATTAGGAACTTTGCATGTTCCATGCCCTTCACTGGTTTGTTTTGCTTGAAAAATAGTTCTATTTTATCATGTTAATGTTTCTATCCTGCAAGTGGTGTGGTATGTCCCAAAATGAAGATTTCAAATCTTTCTTTGGCTTACAGGGAGCAGCTTGATTCCTTAATGAAGCTTAAATGGCCTGCATTGATTTGTGAACATGTTCCATGGGCCTCGCATACCCCTTTGTGCAATTTGCAGAGTTGGTCATCTATAGGACCCTCATCTAATCAGGTTTCATCTTTGTCTGGCAATGCCATGGGACAAATTCCTGACCCTTTAGACCTTGATGTGGATGGGAGATCTGGTGTGTCAAGGGAAGAGATAGAGAGTGCTAGGGAAGATGGGGAACTTCCATCTGTTGCTCAGGTTTCAACTCCCATAAATGATGCTAATCTCCTTGATTCTAAACCCCTCCCAGCAAAATCATCTGATCTTGAACATTCTAGAGACCTGGCTTTAATTTCAAAGAGCTCAGTTGCTCCTATCAACAAGTTAAAATCTCAAAGTTTCAAGAAACATGATGAGGATTTAGATATTCTACTGGATACTGAGAGTGATATGGAAGAAGTTGCATTAACTGAGCTAGAGAATGAAAATGCCACAAGTATTGGATGCTCTAAGGTGATTGACAAGTCATGGGAGGACTATGGGTCCATGGAGTTTTGCTTGGTTCTGAGTAGGAAAATGGATAAGAGTCAGCGAAATGTGAAGTTGGAAGCAAAGGTAGCTAATTTTCACTTTGTTTTTTCCTCGTTCTTTTGTTGATTTTGCTGCTTGGCCATTGGCTTTAACTTCTACATGACAGGTGAAGATCAGCATGGAATATCCTCTCAGGCCTCCGGTTTTCACTGTCAAGTTGTATACCATCATGCCAGGAGAAAGTCATGAGAGGAATGCTTCTGAATGGTATAATGAACTCCGTGCCATAGAAGCAGAGGTAAGATAGAAAAGTTCTGAATTTTTTATCTCTATAATCACTCACAGTAACAAATCAATCCATGATTTAAATCAAGTTTTTATTCATGAAAATGATCTTTTTTATCATAAAGGATCAGCTCTTCCATGATTCCATCTTACCATGGTAATAGTTTGATCTAAATTGTCATTTGGATCAAATCTTGTTTCAGCATCCCACTCTATCATGGATTCAAGTCTTCTTGGTAATGAATTGGAATTGTTTCCACTACTCAGTAACTCAGTATTGACTTTTGTGGCTTCTATTGTCCTTTTAGAGCCTTGAACTTGTAACAGAGCTCAATCTTCATTGATGTGACAAACCATGGGCATGTTATTTTCACTTTTCTGCAGTGCACTTAACTAGATATGTTTATTATGAGAAAACACTCGTTGACTGTAGTGATTGCAATTAGCATTCCAGGTTAGTAGTCTTTCTTTTGTTAGGCCAATTGAAGGAGAATTACAACTTCCATTAAACACCACTTTCTTATTCTATTCCCCTTGCCAGTTGCTAGTCATGCATCTCAATGTTTTCAGTAATCTTGTCCTGATAGAATAAAATTCTTCTGATATTTTCAAGGAGGATCAAAATCATTAGGCTCATTTAGTAGAATAACAACAAAAGTACTTAGTACTTGTAGCAGAACTTGAATGCCAATTTCTGTTTCTAGATTTTGCAACGAAAAGGTTTAAGTTGTTGATGTAATATATGCATGCAATAATTGGGTCGTGGATCTGTGGAAATTTGAATTTCCATGGGAATTACCCGATTTAAATTTCACGTGGTTCAACCTTATTTCATAATTATAATTACGAAAGTGTGCAATCTCTCTTCTTCTTTTCATTAACATCTATCTGGAATTTTCTTTTGATTCCATTCCAGGAAAGTTTTATTAATGCTATTAATAGTTAATACCAGGAAATGCTTTCTTGGATAACAGATCCAATAGTCAGAAAAAAAGCCTATCTGCAAGTGCTGGCCATGCCCTCTAAAGAGTACAATCAGCAAATATTGATTTCCCCAAAGCTGCCCCTGGCCCTGGCGCCCATTCTGATTCCTGTTTCCCTACTCTAGGCAAACTCAGCCAACCAATTAGTTGGTCTTGGGATCCATCTGAATGAGGTGTTTGGTTGACCAGCCAAGGTCTTTGCCTTCCTCAGCTAAAATCTAAGGTCTCAAGGACCTTCTTCAGCTGCTTGCCTAATAACTACCTGACAATCTTCTTAAGCCTGCAAGTTACTAGAGGCATAAGGTCAAAGCACCAATTGAGTTCTCCATGGCATTCGAGAAGGAATGGCTTACCTGATGATATTCCGAAGGAACTGTCATACTATATCCCGATGACTTGTCTAACATTTGATGTTGGTTGTTTTGGTTAAGCATTTTTCTCTTTGCTACCTGAAGCATCATTCTGGAATGGCACAAAGATGCAATCAAAAGTAGAGGTGCTCACGGTTCGGTTAACCATGGGGCTTTTTTTTTGACTGAACCAGTACCACCGGTTTTTGGAAAACCAAAAATCAAAACCGAACTGAAACCAGTTGGTTAACCAATTGGATGGTTCAGTTCTTTGGTTTTTCGTTTTTTAATATGTGCTATAAATAAATATATAATTATATAATATAAATACTAGAAATATATGTAATATATTATATTGTAAATAATATATAATATGTTATATATATATATATATATACATACATACCAGTAGGTTTTGGTTAACTGCCGTTTTTTCATATTGGTTAACTGAAACCAAACTGGCAAACTGGTACGTACCTTCAGTTTTTCCAAACACTGAACCAAAACCTAATTGATCAGTTCAGTTGGCTGGATTTTTCGGTTTGGTTTCATTGGTTCAGCTTGGTTTTTCGGTTTTTGATGATCACCCCTAATCAAAAGCACATAGATGCTTAATAAGGTTGAGAAAAGCAGTAGGATGGCAAAAGAGAATGAAAGTGCTTATTCAAAAATTACTCTGTGATCGTTCTAATAAGCTTTTGGAAAGTTTTGTGACATGGATAGCCAAAGAGAAAATATGAAATGTTTCTTGTTTTTTAGCCCCTTTGATAGCATAACAAATCTCTTTTTTACGTTTCTTATGAACTATGGTGAAAAAGAAGCTACTTTCTTCCTTTTCCTCTTTGTTTTACAGTTTTACTTGGTAATAAAAAATTAGAAATAACTTCACTTTGGAAAAGAAAATCTTTTGCCCTCACATTCGTTTTACCCCATTAGAAAGCAGTTTTGTGAGTTTTTATTTTTTATTTTTTTTTTTGTGTGTTCTATTTTAAGTGGTCTAGTTGTTTGAGGTTGTGGGTGGCGGTTAATGGGGTGAGGAGTTTTCCCCCCTTCTCTCAGGTGACTTCTGGTCACCTTTCATATAGTTTCTCTCTTTTAATAAATTTTATTTTTATCTTAAAAAAAAAGAAAAGAAAAGAAAAGCAGTTTTGTGCCATCTGCTGTTGCGTCTAGGTGGCTGGAGATTTAGCATTATCTGAACGGTCACAATTACATCTTTTTTTCATTGAAGAGCTGGAAAAACTTATGTTATATGATTTTTTTAACTTCATCTATTCTTTAATATATATATATATATATATATATATTCTTTTTTTGGTGAAGATCAATGCCTTGAACTCTTGAACTTGTACATGGACTCACGTATTTTTTGTGCCTGTCAGATCAATCTTCATGTCGTAAAGATTCTGCCAGTGGATTACGAGAATTACATCTTAGCTCACCAAGTATGCTGTCTTGCAATGCTATTCGACTTCTACATGGATGAGGCGTCCCCATTTTCTGAAATGAGAAAGAGTACTTCTGTGGTAGATGTTGGTTTGTGCACCCCAACTACTGGAAGAATACTTGCAAGATCTTTCAGGGGAAGAGATCGGAGGAAGATGATCTCTTGGAAGGATATGGAGTGCACACCCGGATATCCTTGCTAGAACTTTTGGTCTAGGAGTGCAATGGTGACAACAATCATGCTGGTTGTGTTCCAAAATAATTGCCAGAAGTGGGATTTATTTTATGGCTTTCTAGTGAACAGCGATTTTCTCATTTCGAATCTTCTATTTTAAATAATTTTGGGTCAGCAAATCGTCTCATATCTCCTTTGTGGAAATAACATCATTGCTGGTAGTTAGACCAGTATCAGGGTTATGCATGGCAACATAATCAGCTTTTAACTGATCTAAGGTTTGAATCCATTGTAAATCTAAATTCGATCACCTCATCACCCCTATCAAATTCAATCCAATTTAAGACGATCCAAGTTTTACTGCTTTTAATTGATCATATATTCCAATTTCAATATGTTTTTATTGATCATATATTCATATCCGTATCCAATTTGATGAACCTGGATCTCCTAACCACTTTTTTGCTACCCTTCCGACTAACCCAGTCCTATCGTCGTAGTTTAGTTCACCCAACTTCAGGGAACAGTCTACCTGTGTTCGATCGCTCCTGCTTGCAAGTTGCAACTCTCTCTCTCTCTCTCTCCACAGTTGATAGTTGACGGGTCCCCCCCGAATGCAAAATTCCTCCTCTTACACCATCTTTCCTTGCCCTCATTTATCTCTGCATTCCCTGCTGGATTTGTCAACATTGTGATTTGTGATTGCCTCCTTCCGTCACCCTTGTATTCTCTGCCTTCGAATGCTGAACTCGTAGAGCCCAAGAACCTCCATAAATAGTCTGTGCTTGGCAATGTTCTTAAGTCTCAACACTGGAAATTGGAAAAAAGCTATTTTGAGACATGACACAATGCACAATATATCAGTAATAACACAATGTGCCACATGAGACAACTGAAGTAGAAACTCCCCTTATTGGGGAAACTCCAGAGGCTCCCCAAGACCCCATGCCCATGATCCAATGTAAAAGGTGGTATAAACATTTGAACTTAAAATCTGACCAACCAAATGGTTTTTTGTGCTATTAACTCAAAAACTCTTATATTTCGTTTAAATCATGGGACCGGACCGGTTGACCTGGGAACTGGTTCTATTTTACCCTAAAACTGCTTTTTGGCCAAAAACCTTGATTTGGTCAACAACCCATTGACCTAGATGGTCAAACAATTGACCCAGACAACAGTTTTGGACATTTTTTATTTGTTATTTTATTATTTATTTTTTAAGTCAGAACCGTCCATTCATTCCAGATGGTTAGACCGTTCAACCTGGAAACCAGTCCCCAAAATGGTTCCATGCTCGGTCTGGTTTTTAAAAACTTTTGTTTATATGAAGTTAAAGGGGAATGCAACACTACAGTTCCAAACACCACCTGAATCTACAGTCTACTGTTATTTTTGCCTTGAAAAATAGCCTCGGGATCCATCAGTGGGGCAAGCCAAGGCCACAAGAAATATCTCCTATTGGAGGCTGCGAGATTCACTAGTGTCTAACAAATGAGAAGGCTGAAGCAGCTAGGCGGTTGGAGTTCGGTAACTGTAACAACAGAGGAAAAGCATTCAGTGGTCACACGAGGGAGAGAGAGCCGGGAGGAATGTGCAAAAAATGGAGAGATGGCTGTGACAATACAATTAGGTTAATAGAAAAGGCAGCTCAACCTCAACGTAGTTAACCAGCACGTGACCGGATAATGTGCAAAAAATGGTGGTGCTGGTGCAAAGCTTATGCAGCTCAACTGATGACCGGCTTGACCATTCATTCCTGTATATTATTAGACATAAAGAGAATAATATAGTGAGACAAATTCCTTATCGCTAAAAAAGCATCTCAACTGAAGGAATTTATTCCAACAGACTGACAAGTGACAAGAGAAAAGCACAAGTGTAAAGGCTACAAAAGACACATTAAATTAAACGCTTCTCCAATCGTGCATGATTCTTATTAATGACATCAGCACTAGGGCATTGCCGATCATAAAGTAGCTGGAAATGGTCACTCGGCATCCCTCGAAATCCAAATATGGAGACATGGGATCAAACTTCAAACCTGCGTAACTGCAGGCTTTTTGTTGTTAAGTCAGTGAATCTCATGCTGCACTACTGATACGTATCGGTAGTGCAGCATGTTTTGGCCTTTTGGGTCTAAGCCAATTCAGGGGGTGAATGGACCTTAAACCGACTTCTCTCAACCAGATTTGAAAAAAAAAAAAAAAAAAACAACTATCAATACACTCCAATACGCCATACTTTGAACCTTGCTATATATCTCGACTCCCCCTACTTTAACTGCCTTGATGAGTAAAACAGATGCAATCATATCACAGTAACACGAAAACATAATCTACATGATAATATCATAATACTACACTAAACTCGTTAATTTACAATGCACTGGTCTCTTTCTATATGTACAGCAGCTACCTATCCTCCAAAAAAAAAGCCACTGATTCATGGTCCAATCCTTTCACTCTACCAAGGGCCAGTTTGTGTCCTTCTCAAGCATCGCTTTTTATTTCCGTTTTGCTGATTCATTGTCTCGTCCTGCAAGAAATGAAGGATAAAAAAAGTCGGGCATTCCTCGTGAGAGAGTAAAGCAACTTTAAGATCATATATTGCCATACGAGAAACACTGAAAAGCCAAGTGGTTAGTGGTTCATTATCCACCTCTTGCGAGAACTTCACACTTCCTATCCCCAACAATCCTCTGATTGCCGGACCATTTCATCAATCTGGAGAACCCACCATTTGCTAGGTTCAATAAATATTCCACCGATTTTTTGCTAGGTGATCTTACCTGTGCAATTTTTTTTATCAACATTTTAACCGATACTCATGGGCTGAAACTGCAATTAGCCCACGAGGCCACAACATTGTAGACTGGTGAAATGGCGTATGTAACAACTGAACAAAACTGTCATAACATGAGAGCAATTTTGATTCCAAAGAACCAATAGAGGAAAATAAAAGAGCTGGATTGGAGATGGTACCATTGTGGAAGATTCATAATAAATCATTCTTGGAATGGGAAAAATAACATATAGATTTTCTCGGTCTCCAATCAATCTTAGTTGTGCAGAATCTTGCATAACTCTATTCACATTAGTTCAGGGTAACTCAACATAAAAGTAAACTTTGATATCATTATGATAAATGTAAGCTTAGCTTAATTATGCCGTCAGCAACAATATTCCTCTACATTGAATATGATTGACTAGATATAATCTGGATGGAACTGGGAAAGTGAACAACTGTGTAACTGATCTCTTTGGATACCAACTGATTTCCTTGCTTAGTAGAACAAGACAAACACTTCACTACATCCTTTTAATTGATCGACACTCTTCAATGCACATTTGCATAGGGATATTGTGGCTCAATTAACATGTTTACCAACTATGACAACCCGATTGGAAACTCAAATAGCATCATGATTGACCCATGAATCTTGCTCATTACCACAATGATATTAGATATATTTGTTTGTCCTTGTCCTATGGAGCTCCACTAAATTGCTTATAGTTTGGTTAGGGATTGGTCATGGTGCATAATTTGTATGTTCCCATCCCCCAGATTGAAAAAGAAAACCATGATTGAGGTGGCATTCTATTGTTTCCATTATAAAAGGCAAGGAAATAGGCCACTGCTACTAGCACAAGAGCATAACTGTTCATGGACCAGCCATATGGCCGTGGTCATGAAGGCTTCAGAAGAGTTTTATTTCAGAGAAACAACAAGACCAATTAACAGCAAAATGAAGACAAGTCTTTGACTGAAAAAATCATGTACCTGATATTTCTGCATTTCCATAATTTCTGCCTGCAAAACACCAAAAGTGGAATCAAGAAGGGTTTGACATGCCCTTTCTCATATTTTAGTTGAACAAAAAATTCAACTACATTAAATGACATACCTGTCTCTTCTGTAATTCTTGGTTCTCCTCTTTAAGTTTTGCTACTTCAGCTTCCAGTTCCATGGTATATGCCTAATAGAAGAAAAAGGGAAAATAACAGATATAAGCACATAATCCAAAATCATAGCTAGGATGGTTACAGCCTGCACAGGTAGATATTTTTCACTGTTCACGTGCATGTGTATTAAGAGTTTAAGATGTGGCAGTTTAATCTTAATGTCACATGATATTACTCTACTACAAAGTTGATTGTAGTCATAGGCACACATGTACATGGGGGTCTGAGTGACATGAAACTTACATTGTTTCATGTCTTGTCATCATACATAGTTTACATTATAATTCCAGTTCTTAAAATATGAACTTTATATTGAAGATGTAGCATTTTCCTGCTATATTTATATCAGAATAACTATGAAGTTTATAATTGTCAGGATTTCAGAAAGCACCTTTACGCTAAGCTCCTCTTCTTCTTAACATTTACTCATTCTTTTTTCTCTTAAGGCTTCTTGGGCACATATTCCTCCCTTTTCTCTTATTGTAAAGCTAGAATAATATTACTTCCTTCAAAATCTAATTAAAAAATATGGATGTCATAAAATTTCAGCATAAGCATTCTCTACTTGGAATAATGAAGCATGACACAAAAGATTAGGTAAAACATGCCTTCAAATATTAAGAGAAACCGGATAAACATGTTGCAGATCTAATATATCAAAGAAGACCATGGTTGTGCTAACCTGTTTATATTAAATAATAGAATAAAGTTTGTTCTCAAACTCCAGCAATGCAGCTAAACCATACGGACTTATCTTTTCACTAAAATATCAACATGAAAACTTTTATTAGTCTAAAATTACTTAATGCATGTTATATATGCTAGCTACTCTAACTGTTTTATCTGATATAACATCTTCGAAACCAGAAATTTTACCATAAATCTGTCAGCTAGAACAAATATGAGTTGTTGTTTTAAACTAATTGCAACCTTTGATAGGAAGGTACACTAATTGAGAAAGTGCATGCCACTTGTTTTGGATGAATCAACTAAAAAACAGGACATCATTAACAATTTTATATTTACCGGTTCTTTTGGTGTGAACAGGGATACGACCCATGCTCTACAAATACAAAATATCTACATGTCCATCACTTCAAATGACCGAAGTCCATGGATAAACACAAGGTTCAAAATATCAATATGACATGACCAAAACATACCCTTTTTTGGGCCGAGGGGCATGATACACCCACCAACCCATGTGGCTGATATGTAACTAAATCCAATTTTTGTGTTAAACTTGCATGCTTTTTAGTTGAATTAAAATAAAATACAAATTTATATGCTAATACTCAAAAAAGTTTAAGAAATAATATTTTCCATATTTTTTACTTCATTTGTGAGTATCCATATTATATATTAATTTGCAATAAGTTTACCAAACATATGTATGGTATATTATTTTTGGATGTATTGAGGGTGGGCCTTGACACAATGGTTGGGTTTGCTCCATTGCGACCTGACCTACCAGGCTTCAAATCTTGGAAACAGTTTCTCTGTATGTGCAGGGGGTAAGGCTGCGTACATCTGTCCCTCCCCAGACCCCACATTGGAAGGAGGCCTCGTGCATTGGGCTGCCCTTTTTATTATTTTCGGATGCATTATGCATGCTAGTTTAAGATAATGGCTTCATGTGTATGATGTATACAAATGCAAATTACAACTAGTTGATGACCTATTCATTCATTTATTTATTTATTTAGATTGGAAACGGTAATTTTATTAACACAATATTAAGATACAACTGTCAACCCCTAAAATAGGGTGTTGAGCCCCAAGTAATCTTTACTATAATACTATCCAGAACAAACATTCCCTCATGATCCCTTGTTTGGCTAAGGTATTAGCTAGACCATTAGCTGATCTTCTTGTCCACTTGAAGCAAGCACCAATCTCCCTTTATATTTAGAGTCTCCTTGTATCTCAACTTGGTGTAACCCCAATTGTTTGGCATGTCTTACACAGTGAAGCAAAGCCATCACCTCTGCTCCCAGCGAGTCTCTCACTCTTATTGGCCCCGAAAACATAGCAACAATTCTACCATCTCCATCTCTGAATACTCCCCTATACCTGAAGGGCCTGGATTACCTCTAGAGCTCCCATCAAATTTCAACTTTATTCTTTGTTGTGTTGGTGGGGACCACAGTTCCTGCACAATAGGTTTTATGGATGTTGTAGCTGCCACCACTCCCAATTCTTATACATGCCCTCGACTAAGAAGTCTGTAAACAAGTCAAATTTATTACTTCACATGAGCTGTGTTTATACCTTATCAAAGCCAGTTTAGCTGTACAGTTTGTGTTATTGATGTATTTGTAAGATTTATGTGGGCTTCCCTACAATATCCATGCATATCTTAATTGTTCTACTGTATTCCAGTGTTTCCTAAGCATATCTTGATATAAACACATCTCTTAAAATTGCCTATCCAAAATTCTTTGCAATATCAATCAACCTTGGATAAACAACCTTTCACCTTTGTTATTGCATTCATATTAATGATTAAAACTCAATGATCATCAATTAAGACATGCATACAGATGAAGCATAAACTGATTGTGAATCAATCAGAGAGAACAAAATAACTATAACCTCCATCCCCAAATTATAGCAATAAAAGAGTTAATACAAATGAATGATAAGAGAAGAATGAAGCATGGGAAGCCCACTAGTTTATGTTTTTTTGAGGTTTAAGAATCCTTTGATAATTTCCTTTTTCCCCAATCAATTTGATGGTTTTACATTTTTAGAACATTTTTCTTGAAAAAAATATCATGCATCCAAAAAAGCGTTCTCAACGATCCTATGGCTTTTTATGGAGCTCAGATTTCCTACTAACTTTCTCTACCCACTGTGAAATGCAGCCACACATCTCTCAATTCATAATAGAGATGTGTGGCTCCAATTCACAGCAGGTAGAGTGTGGGTAGGAAAAGTTAGTAGGAAATCTCGAGTGCTTATTATGAGAGCTACAAAGTAACCTGTGGACACTAAGACTACTATTAATACCAATGTAAAACATTTCTTTGGCAAGGACTTGCTCATGAGAATCATGGAAACTTACAATTTATACAACTTACAGTTATATTCATTATGAGACACCAAACTCCAAAAACAATAAAGAGGTTTTCCATATGCCATGTTCTCGTCTTTCTCTAGGTGCTCTTTCTAACAAGCTTAAAGAAAATACTTACTGGTGACCTCTGTAGTTGATGTTTCCACATTCCTTGAGAAGTTATCTTTGAACTGCATAGTATAGTCTCTTCGGGGCTGAATGACTGAATCATATTTTTCTAGGGTTAAATTAAAGGGGCATCTTAGAACAATCTAGATTGGTATATAAGTTATTAGCCCACTGAAGGCTAATATTGTTCCAAGTTTGTTAATTAGTGAATTTTCTTATAACAATCATATTTTTCTAAGGTTCATCTTTAAATCGGTTTACGCTTCAAGTTGGTTCATTGGTGTTTTTTCCTTGCTTCCAATTGTACTTCCATGTAGAGAAGAACAGAATGTGTATGTATAGGTTTATGAAAGTTTGCACATAAGAAAAATGCATGTGATTCAATGTATGTAAAAACAAGGCACCAGACAGATGTCAAAATACTCATGTATAAAGATAAAATGAAAGGAAAAAAGAGATTGACAAAGTCAGTTGCAGAAACAGAACATGAATAAACACAAACCGAAAAATTTCTGGCAACTCTTTCAGGAAGTTACCTGCTTTCGAGCCCGTGATCTTGCAGCTGACTCTCTATTCTTGATCATTCTTCGCTGCCTCCGCTCCACTACCTTCTCCACAGCCCCACTGCATCTTCTCCCTCTTAGACTATTAAAAGGATAAGGTACTGGTGACAAGGAAGATGTATCACCATTGCTCTTCCCAAGCCCATCAGAGGATAACTGGTTTGCTGGAGATCCCGTTGCAACTGTAACAGCCCCGGCCCCTAGACCAACCATGCCCATTCCTCCACTCTGTGGTCCACCGCCTTGACCAAAACCATTGTTCAACATTGGATCTGCAACTCCACCCCTCATTCCTGGGTTAGACAGCTGGTTGGTGTTTGCTAAATGCATTGCGGAGGCAAAAGCCACCGTAGATTGTTTTGCGAAGAGTTGGGGTAGCTGCTGCTGCTGTTGCGGCTGAGAAGATCTGGCTCCGTTTATATTTATGGCTAGATTAGGAGACTGAGTATGAACGGGATTGTTACTCTCTGCAATTCGGTTAAGCACAACTCCGTTGGTCTGTCCTGGCTGTGGAAACCCAAGAGCCAGACCAATATTGTCATTGGAACGCGTCTCAACATACATCCCGCTATTATTCGGTGTTCCTGTTTGAATATCTTCTCTCACCACTCCTGCTTTCACCAAGAACTCCTCCAGAGTCATCTCCCCTAAAGTTTGCTGCCTCGACTGCAAATTCGATCCCCCACTACCACTCCCATCTTTGCCGCTAGCACTTTCTTTAAATATGTCTCTCCATACTTCATCGACCGTCTTTTGACTGAGAGTCCGTGGCAAAGTTAAGGAACCCTGCCGCTGCAGATTCGTGCCAGGGACCCCTCCTTCAGTCCCTCCGAAGGTGGATGCCATGGCTTGAGCCTCTTCGGCAGTCCAAATATTCTTGAGAAATTCATCCATGTTCATGGAGCCAAAATCCTTTCCAAGGCCACCCATGGTGTTCTGAACCTCATCTAAGGTTAACGAGAAGATAGAAGGCTGCCGGGCCAACGGGAGGTTTCCCGGCGGCCTTCCACTGCCTGTGTTGCCTTCCAGTGGTTGTGCATCACCAACGTTCTTGAAGTTCATGTGAGATCCCATTTTCACTTATCCAGTACAGTTAACTAACAAATCTCACACATTCACCGAGCTAGACCAGATCGAGTGGAATCACTTGTACGCCTCTTCTTCGCTTGCTTTCTTGGACTTGAAATCCAAATTTCACCAAAGCAAAAACCTCGTAGATGATTCAGAAAGAAATTCCAATTTTCGACCAAAGATAAACTTCAAAAATTAAAAAAAAATCTAAAAATTAAACTCTTAATTGTTTACCTTATTTATCCAACTGTTCTAAAACCAGACCTTCACGACAGTATGACACTCCGCAGAAATTATTTCGAACATGAAACGATTAAATAAAAAATTCAAGAAAAACACAAAAAAAAAATCCTAACCTACCACTTTTCGACTATACAACTTCACTAACTAACTACTACGAAAAAAAAACAACACCAAAAATCATGGACGAATTGAAGAGAAAATCGCGAAGAGCTCCCAGGAAATGAATAGAACAGGGCGAATTAAACAATTACAATTACATAGCAATAAAAATAAAAGAAACAAGGAAAAATTTAACTCCTTCACGATTCAACAAAAACAAAATCGGAATAAAATTAAAATTTTATTTCTCACGACATTTAAATTGGGGGAAGAAAGTGGATAAAGACAGTGACAAAGAGAGCAACAGCAATTTCTTACCTGCTTTTTAATCCCTTTTTTTTTTTCTTTGGTGTGGGAGGATTATTTTCCTCTCTCCGCCTTTTGGCCTCTATTGACAAGTGTCACCTATCGGTCTTCCACGAGTCGGCATTTAAAGGGTGCGAACATCGATTAAAGCATAAATCTACAAAACATTATTACAGGGTTAGCAGAATTTAAAAACGTGGACCAATCGTATTGAATATGTAAGCATCTGATGTAACGTACAGCCAATTATCTACTTATCGTCCACTATATGGAGTATCTCGATCGTCCACGTATCCCTCGGACAACCATGGATGATCTCCCTAAAATGGCGACCGGATGTGCTGGTTACCTACTAAGTTGCCGGAACCGAGCACACAATCGGGAAACTGCTTCGGGCGTGCAATGACCAATTGACCACAACCAGCCGATCTGGAGTGGTAAAATACGCCGGGTGTGAATTAAGCATTTTTGGTGTTAGAATTTAAGAGCTGGTTGGATGATTGGATCTTGGTTCCAACATGTCGGTTGGCTTGCAACCAAGATTAAAATCTTTGAGACAAGAAGCTATACAACTCATCTAATCCTCTACAGTGATACCGTAGCACTGGGGCCAATGGCCACTGGGCTAATCAAGATCCAGGAACCAAACTTTGCATACGCTGAAATGCTCTGCTACGAGTAATAATCTTTTTGTTTACATCTCATATAAGGGCCGCATATATGGAGCTAAATCTCCCATGTAAGATTCGTTTAACTAATTCAAGGCAGCTGCGTAGGAATATCTCCAATATATATTATCTTTCATGGGAAATGTTCTGAATGCATGCATTTAGTACGAATTACCTAATAGAGTAATTACTCTTACATCTGCTTTCAAAATGATATGCTCCAAATGAGGGAAATCATCAACAAGAAACCCTTTAACAAAATGGAAACGGCAAAGGCCTTACCTTGGAGGCTTGACCGAGAAGAGAGAGGGATTGCTTTACTAACCAAGTGACAGCTTTGACAATCTTGAACACCAAGGATTGACGTAAGTATGCAACAAAATATGAGGTCGAGATCATCAATCAACAAGTTCATATTTTACCAAAAAAAGAAAAAAAAAATATCATCAAGCAAAAACAAAAAAGAAAGAAAGAAACAATGGTCAAACAAATATTTGGACTTTGATTTGTAAAGGAGATAAACGCGTTAATGCCCAAATTAGCTACATGGCCGACATCGCAGATAGAGGTGTAAAGTGAATTGTGCCACCCTTTCGGGTGAAAAATTTGGGGGTCAGCTTGGCACGACCTATGGCCCAAGCCCATGTGGGATCGTGCTGTGCCATAGGCTGAGCTGGCCTGTGGGTCGAGCCTGGGGCTGGGTCGGGCCGTGTATCAGGCCAAACCTATTTATTTAAAAGAAATTGACAAAAAAACTTAAAATTTTAATTTTATATAAATTTTGTGTATAAAATTGCTTATATATGCAGTAACTAAATAAATTAGTATAATAAAATTAAAAAATATTTATTTTATTAATATATTATATACTATATATTATTATAAAATTATAATATATATAAAATATATATAAATATATATATGGGTCGTGCTGGGCTGGGCTGGGCTGTGCCTGCAGGCCGCAGATGGCATGGCCCGCTTGGTCGTGCTGTGCCGTGCAGGCCCATGGACATAAAATCATAGGCCCAGCACGGCCCACATGGTCGTGCCGGGCCGGTCCAAGTTCGTGTTGGGCCACGGGCGACACGACCCGATTTACACCTCTAATCACAGATTCACATCCACTAAATGGTTTTGTACTGGTCTGGGGTAGGATAGTCGTCATCGTTGTTTTGTGCTTGGCTCATACTAAGTACATGTTTGATATAGCTTTCATTTGTTAAATAAACATTTGTACTTGATTTGTCTTTAAAATCGATAAAAGTATTTGATAAATCGTTTATGGACAATTAGGTGGCGCCATAACGCACCACATCAACGGAACAGTAAATTAACATTCAACCGTTGGAGGAAGCATTAAATTGGTGTTTACATAAATCAAAGCCCAATTTTATGAATATCAATGCATACGAATGAATAAAGAAAAATACTGGTTTAATGATGACAATGTGACATTTTGATAAATACCTATCACGAAACGCCTACAAAATAAAACACACGTTAAATTGATGGTAGGGTGCATTCAGGTTGTACTGAGTTAGAATCTATTCTCCACACAGTGTGCTTCACACCCACCTCATAGCATGTCTTAGCTATGCATTAGAAACATCTCCTCCACTTGTATCTATTATTTTGGGGAGATCTTCTCAATGCAGGATGATGGGATGTGGCTGTGAGGTCGGAGTGAGGCACACTCCGTGAGGAGCAGATCCTAATTGGGTTGTGCCTTGTGCTGGTGCTACGTGCTATTATTCAACATTCATTTCATCGCTTCTGTTCATTATAATTAAAATAGTGAAGTCCTGACATGTAGCCTAGAAACTGGCTAATAGGTAATGATTGTTATTTTAACTAGGGCTGTTCATAACAAGACCCAAACCGACCAACCTGGTCCGATCCAATCCGAGTTGGCCGGTTTTTCTTCAGCACCACTCGGTTTCGGGTTATAAAAAAACATAAACCGATGGTTCGATTCATTTTCGGTTTTCACACATGAAAACCGAACCCGAACCGACCCAAACCGTCTTAGATATATATTATATATATAATATATTTTAGATATTATATATATCTGATATATTTCATATATATATTTGTGGAAATATATATATATATATATTTCAGCTTTATTTCAGAAATATACATATATATAAAATTTCTGATATATAAAATATCAGTTTTAATCCATCAAATCATTTTTAATTTTCAGGCATCCAGCCTTTGCTTTCTTAGACTTGAATCCTTTACCGTTTACACCAAAAGAATCATTCACAAAACCGACCCAAACCGATCCAACCCGATTCAAACTGACTAGGTCGGTTTTACTTAGTACTGGGTCGATTTCGATTTCATTTCTAGATAAATCGACCAGGTTGGATCGGTTGGAAAAATGCCAGTAAACCGATCCAACCCGACCCGTGAACAGCCCTAATTTTAACCAAATCTACCCTTCTTTCTACACTCTTTCTATTGCTCAAATTCTCCAAAATACCCTACTTTCCCATCTCAACCGTTGCCGCTGTTTCCCCTCTGAATTTCTGAAAATTCTCAGAATCACGGCTTGATAGCAATTAGGGTATTCGTCAGGTTGGTCTCATACCTTTAATCTGTGTTTGGTTTGAAAGATAAGGTAGGAAACTATTATATATATTTTAAAGGGCAAATTTCTTAAACTATTTTTATTCTTTAGTTTATTGACAAATTATATCTTTATTATTCATATATTGTCTTAAAATACCTATATTGTTTCTTACAATTGATATTGTCCTTAAGCACTAGCAGAAAAAATAAATATTGAATTTACACTCCACTACTCTTCAAATTTTCAAAATAAAACTCAACTAATAAAAAATTTTAAGAACGGAAGCTCAGGACACCGAGACCATAAATTAACTATAAATTTAAGAAACTCAATTGGTAGGTTCTCTGACTCATCAGAGTAGAGACCTGGGATCAAATCCCGCTGCCACCAGGGGGTTAAGGGAAAGGGGATGGGCTCTACCCCCTGTTGTGTAGCCTCATGAAGCGAAAAAAAAAACTATAAATTTAAAAAAGAGAATTTGCTTCAATCCAGGCATTTGTCTTTCCTCCACTCTAATTTGTCCTTGTCATCACAAACTTTCTCAGCTTGTTTTTTCTTTTGTTTTTGCTCTATTTTGTGTTGGAGATCCTGCTTTCTAAGGACTATTCCCTTTTTGGGTTTTTCCTGTTTCTCTTTAGATATGAATCTTCACAGCCCAAACTGTGGGGGTTGGTAAATTTGTTCTCGCAAGAGTGGGCGGTTTGTCTTGGCAGCCCAAACTCTTCACACTTGGACGCCTCACATGCACATCTAATAACTTAAAAGTACGAAAAATGTTCCCAATGCATGGTAGGATGTGCATGTGAGGCACGTGTGAAACGTTCTCTGTGAGGAGCAGACCAGATTCAGTCAGAGCTAAGTCCATTCGAGCAGCTGCCTTGCATTGGAAATATCTCCCCCATGAAATAAAGTACAGAAATATGGAGATATTCCCGATGAAAGATTGTATAGACTGTTCGAACAGTGTTCGAACGAGCCTAGCTCTGACTGATCTCGTCTCTTCGGTAACTAAGTAGAGAAAAAGCAACAGTGAGAAAAAGAAAAAAAAAGGAGAAAAGAAATAAAAAATTCAAAGAAAGATTGAGATAAAAACTCCCTGAATTGAATTTGAAAGAGGAACTTTCTTGTGTTTCATGGCGAATGGAGATGGCCTTGTCGAAATTTTTCTTCCATGGCCAGCTCACCAGCCAGGTTGACTAGCAGATGGGCCCCGGATTTGCAGGGGCTGATGAATAAATAATTTATTAGAACAATAAATGATAAAAATGTAAAGTTTGTTTTCTCAATTTTGAAGTTCACATGATATAAAAGTTTTAAAGAAAATATAAAAATCAAATTGATGTAAAAAATAATATCTATATAGTCTAATGCTACAAGAGAGCAAAACTATTTTGTTGTAAAGTAGATAACTTAATTTAAAAATTTCAAAAGTTTTAAATTATTATTATTTAGGGTTTAGGTAATTTCAAAATTTTAAGTAAGTTATCATAGTACAAATAGCTACCATTGTTTTAGCAATTAAGTTAATAAGTCTGAACAATTAGTTATTTTAATTATTCAAATTAATTAAAAACAAAATAAAATAAAATAATTATTCTTAAAAATTATTAAATTTATTATAATAAATAAAACTAAAAATATAAATTAATTAATTGAATAGGTTATTATGGGGAGAGAAAGAGGGAGGGGCTGACATGATCGAAGATAGAGGAGACATGCCAACTTGTCATTTCCATCATTACTTCTTAAATAATATT